AGGAACAGAACAGCCAGTCTCTCTCTCTCGCTCTCGCTCTCCCTCCCCCTCCTCCCCCCTGCCCTTTGTCTCCCCCCTCTCTCCCCCTCTCTCCCCCCCCTTCCCCCTCTCTCCCTCCCTCTTCCCTTCTCTCTGCCGCTCTTCCCCAGGGATCCCCTGGGTGTGGTTCAGCCCTTCCTTTGTTCCAGCTTTTTCTAGGAGGCTGCTCTCATTGTCTCTGCAGTTTTTTAGTTTATGCCTACACAGGGCTGGGTTACAAGATAGATTTGCTGATGTTCATGTAGAATTTAAGTGGTAAGCAAAGCCCCTTTGGACAAGAAGCTTTCTGTTGGGACAGGAAATCACTTTCAGCTCTGTGACCCTGTAAATAAGCCAGAGCTGGGGATTTGAGCCTGATTTGTTTTCTGGAGGCTGTCTCAGGAGACGTGGTGTAAAGGAGCGACCTCATACCGTGTGGTTCACACTGCTGTGCTGGTTGCTGGGTTGGAGACTCAGGGGACGCCACTCTAGAACTTTACAGGCAGCAGCATGTGGCGTGGTGCAGAGTGTGCAGACTCTGTGTGCACATGGGCAAAGGCCTGCCAGGTGTGGGCACAGTGGGCAGCTCAGGACCATCCTGACCCAGAGTCTCTGCTTCCTTCTAGAAAGAGGACAGCCCAAGAAGGAGCTGGGCCTGAGTGTGGGCCGGTGGCTAGGAAGTGACCGTGTGGGGGTGAAGGAGTTCTTAGAAGAACCGTGGGCTTCTGAGGCTGCAGCTGGGGATGTCGGCTCACCTGGCAGAGGTGGTTTGTCTGGCTCCAGCAGCTCATGTGCCCGACTTCCCCTCCACCTGCCCTGCCACGGGTCATGCAGAGACAGCAGCCTTCTAGTGTTGGCTCTTGGGTTCTCTCCATCCCTTCTCCCCAGCACTGGGTGGCAGTGGTGCTTGGTCTCCAGAGGTCTGGGTGCTGCCCCACATTGCTGCCTGTGGGGCACCTTCTCTTCCCTGCCCATAGGCCCCCGACAAATGAGAAAGGCTTCCCGCAGGGAGGCTTGTGTCTGCCTGGTGCTCCTGCCTGTGCGTCCACCTCCCAGAGTGACTTCTGGGTGACAATCTGATAGGGAAGCCATAAAACCCCATAAAAGGCTTTGCTAAAGTCAATAAGTCACTCCTTGCTATTCCCAAGCCAGTGTTCTGTGTGTCTGCTATCTGGGTTTGTGTTCTTTAAATCACAGTTTATCTAACACCAGGCAATTAAGAATACCACAAGGCTTAAAAAACAATCAGGTTATCAGAGTGTGGAATTATTCCGTTTGGCAACTGAGACGAGCCCAAACAGCTGCCTGGAGTGGAGGGTTCCTCATGTTGGCTCTTGACTCTGATGCCTCTGGCTCTGAGGGAGGGGACCCTGAGGAGAAGGTGGGAGCAGCACAGAGTCCCAGGCCTGCCAGCGCACCCAGCAGCCAGCGCCCACCGTCCTTTCTCTAGCAGTGGGTGGGGGGTACCATGTGCATTCTCACCTGGCCACTTCATAGTCCAGTGTGGACCTTTTTGGGCCTGGTTTTCAGGTGTTTGTGTGTCTGGCAGGCATGGTGGTGTGAGAGCTGTGGGCCGCAGGCCCAGGCCCTGGCGCTGCCCGGAGCCCACGTTCTCAGTGCTCACTGGAGCTGCTGCTGGAGGCCGGGTGGGGCAGGATGATCCAGCAGGTGTCTCGGGGAGGAGCTGAAACTTCGTAATTTATCCTCATCAAAGTTGTAATTCAATTATTTGTCAGGTTTAGTTTCATCTCCTTATATTTGACCCTGATTTTAAGGATTTTGAAGATGTTTCTCTGTGTGAATTTTTTGTTTTAAGAAACAACTTGGGCCAGACATGTTGGCTCACACCTGTAATCCCAGCACTTGGGGAGGCTGAGGTGGGCGGATCACGAGGTCAGAAATTCATGACCAGCCTGACCAACACGGTGCAACCCCGTCTCTACTAAAAATACAGAAACGAGCCAGGCGTGGTGGTGGCACCTGTAGTCCCCGCTACTCGGGAGGCTGAGACAGGAGAATCGCTTGAACCCTAGAGGCAGAGGTTCCAGTGAGCCGAGATCGTGCCACTGCACTCCAGCCTGGTGACAGAGCGAGACTCCGTCTCAAAAAAAGAAGGAAAGAATTTGGTTAGACCCATGAAGGATGGCTTCAAGTTAATGATCTGGGGTAATTTCCTGATCAACCCAGGCCCTGCTCCTTGAGCCTTCCTGAGTGGGCTGCCGTGTCAGGAATGAGGCTGATGGCCCTGGAGCCCTTCCCTGCCCAGGGCACCCTCCTGCAGCCATTCACTCTGGGTGCCCACCTGTCTTCCGGAACAGGCTGTTTTGGAGTGAGCGGAAGATCACCAAGGCCAGGGAGTGGTTCCACCGCACTGTGAAGATCGACTCGGACCTGGGGGACGCCTGGGCCTTCTTCTACAAGTTTGAGCTGCAGCATGGCACTGAGGTGAGGCCCTCTGGGTCTGTGGCGGGGAGTTCCGCCAGCCCTGGGGGCTCTAGGAGGTGGCCAAGGCCAGCGTGACTCTGCCCGGGTTGGGAGGATAGACAGGGTGGGTGGGGCACAGAATCCTCGACACCTCCCCGTGAGGCAGTCTCTGACTCTACGTCGTTTTCTGGTTGTAGCCTCACAGCCCCACACCCTGGAACTGAGGTGCCCAGTCCCTTGGAGTGGCCTGTCTGCTTGCGCATTTTAATGAGTTATCTGTTGGCTGGAGCCTGCGCTCACCTTAGGAATGGGAATGGAGTTGGCCTTTCTCTTGGGGCTGAGCTTGGGTGTGGTTTTCTGGGAGAGCCTCGACAGCAGCTCCCTCTGTTCCCACCTGCCCCCCTGGAGCCAAGCATCATCAGCACTGTGCTGGAGGGCAGGCAGGCTGTCCTGGTCCTCCTTGGAAGGTGGTGCCAGCCCATGTGGAGCCTGACTCCTTGTTTGGAGAAGGCAGATGTGAGCACTTGTGTGAGACGCAGAATTGGGAGTCCATGCTCCTCAGGAGGGGCTCCTTTGAGGAACACACCTGGAAGAGCTTTGCCTTCTGGTTCAGGGCCTGTGCCCCCACGCCCGCCAGTTGGGGCTGGTACTGCCAGAGCCAGGTCTGCGTGGGGGCAGGTGGGGAGTGGCCTGGAAGGGCCCTTGCCTGAAGTGCCCTGTGGTCCCACCAGGAGCAGCAGGAGGAGGTGAGGAAGCGCTGTGAGAGTGCAGAACCTCGGCATGGGGAGCTGTGGTGCGCCGTGTCCAAGGACATCGCCAACTGGCAGAAGAAGATTGGGGAGGTCCTTAGGCTGGTGGCTGGCCGCATCAAGAACACCTTCTGATTGGCAGGTCTCCATGGACAGAGCTTGGGCTGCACAGGGGAGGCGTGTGGAGGGCTCTGGGTTGTGTCCTTCACTATCCTCCAGTAAAAGTTTTTATGTCTTGTGTCAGAGCGGGCGGCCTGCTGGTTTTCTCTGGGGCTCCTCCCTGGCTCCTGCTTCTGTTGCCCCAGTTGGGCCTGTCCTGGCCTGTCCCATGCTGTCCTGGGGTGGTTGGGATTGCCCTTGCTTGGGCAGAAGCCTCTTGCAGACAGCCGGTGTCTCACAGAGGAGACACTGGAGGTGCCGGGATTCCCCAAGACTGTGGAAAAGGTGGTGGGGTGCAGATGTTTGGGTGAAAGCCATGTGTGCGGACAGCTGGAGACAGTGGGGACGGAGCTGTGTGCAGGCCAAGGTGCTCACAGGAGCCTGGCGCCGCCTGCAAGGGTTTTGGTCAGGGGACACCTGGGGCCTCCCTGTGGTCTTGAGTGCGAACAGCAGAGCTCAGCTCTGCCCAGGGCCTCTCCACACTGCCTCCCAGGCCCCTCAGGCACATGTTCAGTGGTGGTGTCACCAGTAAGAGGTGTTCTTACTTTTGGAGGTGAGTTTATTTTTGCTAATTTATCATTAACAGTTAAACCCCTAAAGCACTTGTAACTGAAAGTTGTATTACCTGGGAGACATGGCTTCTTTTCAGCCTTAGCTGTGTGAGGATGAAGGACTTCCTCAGGCCTGGATCCTGTGTGCGCTTTCAGTTGCGAGCCAGCTGGCTCTTTTGTGTAGGCCAGGGCTGGAGACATCTGGCTGGAGGTCTTGGCTGGCCCAGAGGCTGTGGGTGGAGTGGCTCAGGCCTGCCGGGGAGGAGGAGGCTGCTGGAGAGCAGCTGTCCCTGGACGCTCCCTGTGAGAGGGGAGCCCCCGAGCGTCCCACCTTGTCCTGTGGTGCCAGTGACAGTCTCGGGTGGCCAGGCCCTGACCCACAGCTCTGCCCTCCTGCATATGGGGCCTGTGCTCGGCCTGGTGGTCTGCCTGCCCTGCTCTGATGAGTGAGAATGGCTGGGGTGGGGGAGCCCTGTCTACACATGGGGTGGTCCTGCTAGGCCAGAATGTGGGTGTGGGTCCCCTTTCTCTGGTTCTGGAGACCTCAAGGACATGGCCAGTCCAGGGCAAGGGACCCCTGTGTGGGGTCAGAAACTGCTGGTTGGTCTCTGCTGGGCAGGCAGCCTGGGGTCCAGCTCAAATCATTGGAATCTAGAAGTCCTTCCTCACCCCATCCTGAGGAGGAGCTGCTGAAGCTTCATGAGTGTTCTCATTGAAACTTGGGGAGGAGTTTCCTTTGATATCTCGTGGAGAGATGGAGGAATGAGGGAGCCTTCAGAATTTACTCTGAACATGAAGAGGGTCCTGCAGCTTTTTGGAGTCTATAAGCCAGCCTGGCTCTTTGCAGATGTGGAAACCAAGGCCTAGGGAGGAAGCCAGGAGGGAAGGCCTGGTTTCTTGGCACTTCTCTGACCTTGGAGCTGAGCATGGCCAATGCTGGGTGGGCACTGAGGGGTCACACAGAAAAGCATGTGTCCGGCCATGTTCAGGGGAGGCTTCCTGCAGGGGGCCCTTGGAGAATTCCAGGGCGCCTGCGCCGTCCATGAGTGTCTCTGTCTTGCCTCTGTGGGGTTTTCCCAAAAGCTTTGAGGTGGTCACACTGCAGCTGTGCGTCACAACAGTAGGGATCCATTCTGAGAAACACCTTGCTAGGTGATGTTGTCGTCTTGCAAACTTCAGAGTGCATTTACGCAAGCCTGGCAGGCACGGCCTCCTGCACCGCCAGCCTGGACTCCTGGGCTGCGGACCTGCACAGCCTGTCACTGTGGGCGCTTCTAGCGTTAAACACATGAAGAGGCAGAGACGTGAAGATACAGTGCTAGAACCCTGGGGGACCCCTGTCCTGTGTGGTCTGTTGTTGACTACTGTGTGAATCACTGACTTTTCCTCCTGGGAAACTACCCTGACTTTTCTTCAACTGAATTTTTTCAGCCCAGAAAGGTGAGTTGCTCCTCAGAGGTGGTTCTGAGACGTCTCTTCACTGCTGCCTGTCAGGCTGCAAACCGGGGTGCACTGGCACCACAGGCAGCAGAGCAGTAGCTTCAGCGAGGGCACCCCTCAGCCCAGGAGGAATGAGGCCAGGCGGGCAGTGGGGGCCCCAGAAGCCCACGTTTTGGGACCCGCTGGGGCAGGGCCCCCTGGATGTCAGGCTGCAGGTCTGGCAGCTGGGGAGGGGAAGAGGGGCTCCCACCAGCTCTGCTGCTTGGCCAGATCCTGGGGGAGGCAGCTCTCACTGGCCACAGAGTTGGCCCCTGTCTCACCTGGCTCTCCTCCCCCACCAGCTGGGCCCGGCACTGCCCCAGCCCATGGGGCGCTCACCCCTCCTTGACAGAACGGGGTCTTTGAGACTGACAAGTTAATCCAAGACCCACAGCAGCGCCCTGGATCCCCTGGGAGAGGTGGCGGCTCAGCTTCAGGGCCAGGTTAATAGAAGTGGTAGGGAGTGGGGAGAGGGAAGGGGCAGGGCTGGGATTGCGTGGCCTCTCCTGTCCCTCCCTCAGCTTGAAGGAGCCAACTTCAAAAGCCTCCGCCTGGCCTGTGCCTCTGCAGTCCTCCAGGCAGCCTGTCCAGGGAAGCTGCTGGCTGGTGTTGGCCCTGGTGTGGCGGCGCACACCCCGTCTGAGGACCCGGGATCATGTGCATGGTCTGCTGGCGGGAGTGAGGGAGGGCAAGATCCTGAAAGGTCCATGGTGAGCAGCTGTGGGCCTCCTCTAGGGAGGGGGCTCACTTGGGTGGAGGGGCTGGGGGTACACAGCCCAGGAGATACTGCTTGTTCTGCTGAGCCCCCACCGAGGAACCTCTGGTTGGCTCCGGTCACTGTGTCACTGTGGGTGGCAGTGGGTGCGTGACCCTGGCCCCTGGTAGTGGGGAGGGGGGGCTCCTGGGTGCCAGGCCACCCTGTTCTAAGCTGAGCTGAGGCTTGACTCAGGAAGTACTGCTAAAAAGCTCGGTGGGACTCCTGGGCAGCCCAGCCCGTCTCCCCACCTGGGTGAGGCCCAGCAGGTGCTGCACATCTTGTGGCTCCAGCAAGCCTGCTCAAGAGTCGGGCTCTGGTTCTCGCGATGAATCTCTGACCCACAGCAGGCAGAGGATGACGTGGCAATTCTGAACCCGCCAAGTTGGCCGTGGCGTGTGTGATGGGGGGGCCAGGTTTCAAGAAGGGGCCACGGCAAACCATCTGCTCTTCCAGCCATTGCTGCTTGGTGCTCCGAGCAGGAGCTGCCACCCCAGCCCCAGGCCCCCAGCTCTAAGTGAGGGTTGGGGTGCTGCTTGGCCAGGCTCCCCTGCCAGGGCTGGGAAGCCGAGTCGAGTCCTGTCATCGCGGTCGGGTTCGCACGATTAATTTTCCAGCCCTAGATCTGCTGTCTTGACTCTAGCCTGGGGGCCCAGGGGAAGGTTTGGGGGCTGGGAACTTGGGGGCCATCAGCCGTCTCCTTGCTGTTTGGGCTTTTTTCCCTGTGGGAGCAGGCCTTCCACTTTGGTTCAGGGGAGGCCTATGGGACAGGCTGGTACAGGCAGAGGGGCTTCTGCATCTGTTGATTGGGGCTGGATGTGGTGGCCCTTTCCTCCTCTGTGGCTTCTTGGAGTCCCCCGAGCCTTCCCCTTCCAATAGGGTGTGCCTTGAAGCTCTGAGCCCCTACACCTGCCCCAATTGGGTTGGGGGTACCAGGAGACCAGATTCTCCCGTCTCTGTGAGCTAACCCAGAGGGCGCCAGTGCGGGAGGTGTGGGGTTGAATAGGTTGAATGGGCATGGCCACAAGTGAGATGGAAGCTGTCCTGGGACGACTTCCCACTGTACCCCCGGGAGCCTGCAGACCAGCCCACTCGAGCTGTGTGGGGCCAGAGGGGCCCTGCCCTGTGCAGTGTTGCGGGCGCTCCACCCCTTGCCGGCCCCACTCCCACAGGGACTACAGTGCCAGGCTCTCCTGCCCCTGGGCCTGTCCTGTCTCCTGCTGGGTTCTTCAGGTCAGTGACATGGCCTCCCAGCCCGCCTCACTCGCGCTGCACATCGCAGGGAGCATAGAGCTGTGTGGTTTGCAGATCTAGCTGCTGTCGCTCCCGATTTATCCTGCCAGGCCTGTGCCTAGAGCCTTTCTTGATTGGTGACATGTCCATTTCGTAAGGCTCAGAGATCCCATGGGGTGGGGCAGGGGGTGTGCCTTCTATGGCTATGGAAGCAAAGTGCAGGTGGGCTGGCTGCGACCTGTGTGGGGAACCCCAACCTGCTGTCTCCTCCAGGTGCCCCCCAAGCCTGCACTCTGGGCGCTCCTGCTGGCGCTGCTGGGGACGGCGCCAAGCCGCGCCCAATCCCCCGCCTGCAGCGTCCCCGACGTGCTCCGCCACTATCGCGCCATCATCTTCGAGGATCTGCAGGCCGCCAAGAGGTGGGGCGGGGCGGGGGCCGAAAGGACCAGGCCAGGCTCCAGACACTTTCATTTCATGCAGAAAAACCCGACTCGACCCGGGGGCTCGGGACGGCGGCGACGGCCTGGGGCCTCCTGCGGCGCCCAGAAGGTACGGAGGAGGCGCCCCTACCCATGCTCGCCGGCCGGCTCCTCTCAGTCTCCCCCCACCCGCCTTCCTCCCTTCCCTCCCCAGGAGCACAGTATCCTCCTGTCCATCTCGTCCCTGGGTCGGACTCTGCGCCGGGCGGTGGCCGGGGGCCGCCGCGGGGCCCTGGAGAGAGCGGCTTGGACGGCGGCCGTGCGCACCGAGGCGGTGATGCGGCGCCACTGCAGGACGCTGCGCCAGGTGTGCGCGCCTCCCCCAACCCCGCGGGGGCTCCACCGGCCTAGGCTGGGGTCGGGCCGGGCGTCGCCTCCCTTCCCGGACCGGGCTGGGCGCGGGGGCCGTGCGCATTCGCTGACCGCCCTGTCCCCGACAGCGGAGCCGGCGGCCCGAGAGGCGCCGTGCCCGGCGTCGCGGCGGCCGGAGGCAGCTCCTGCTGCGCGCCCTGGACGCCGTCGCCACCTGCTGGGAGAAGCTCTTCGCGCTGCGCGCCGCGGCCTCCGGGGGCTCCTAGCGCGGCCCGCCCCAGCCCTGCCTCCAGCGAGCGCCCCGCGCGGGAGAAGCAGCGGGGCCGCGGCAGATCATGTCGACCTGTTGGCGACCTCGGCCCCTCGCTCGACGCAGCCCGCGTGCCCCGGAGGGCCCGGGGCTTGGGGAAAGCGCGCCCGGCCGCCGCTGGGTCTCGGAGGAGCGCGCCCTCCCCGCGCCGGAGGCCTCAATAAACGGAGCTGGCGCCGCGGTCCCGCACTCCCTTCGCACGCGTCTGTGGCCTGGGGCCGCCGGGTCTGCGCTTCCACGGCGGGGAGCGGTGGAGGGGAACGCGGGACCGGCACTTCCCGTCGCACCTGGACGGGGCGGAGCCGCCGCTCCCAGCCTCGGGCAGCAGAGGGCGGGCGCGGGACGCTGGGCGCGCTCCGGCTCGGTGCGCTGCTCGCGGCTGGGCGGAGAGCAGATCGGGGGACTCCTGGGGCCCCTAAAACGTCACGTATCCGTCCTGCTCCACTTTGGACCGGGGCAGGGGGTGGAAATTGAGGGGAGGGGAAGGCTGGACTTGGTGAATTCGGAGCAAAACAACCGGATAAAGGAAACGGGCCCGAAGGGAAGCGGGAGCTGCGGGCCCTGGCTGTGAGCTTGGCCAGGCTATTTCCTGCTGCCGCAGGAGGGGTGGCCACGGCCTGGGCTCAGAGACTGCCCAGCCCCCTCTGCAGGACTGGCCAGGCTGGCCGGGGATCTGCTTCCTGGCGCCTGGAACCCTCCATTTGCTGGGGGACTGACCCCTGGTTCCCCCATCTGATGCACAGGTCTGAAAGAAGCAACCCCCGAAGCTGACCCTGACCCAGCCCCACACTGTGTCAATGCATTTAGCCTGTGCAACAGAGCGACTGTTTCTGTTTTACAGATGGGGAAACTGAAGCGCGGGGAGGTTGTGAGACCCGCCCCAGATCACACAGCCGGCAGTGTTAGAGCTGGTCTTAGACCCAGGCCCAGGGTCCTCTGTCTGGAGGCTGGGGAGCCAAGCTTCCTGGACTTCAGAGCCTTGGACTCTGAAGCACTTCTGACAGAGTCCCTGGCCAAGCACCCAGCAAGTGTTGCCAGGCCTAGTTCTGCCGTGCCTGCTCCGTGGGGGCCAGCATGGGCCAGTGTAGGAGGGATGACGGGGAGAGGCGGGGTGCAGGAGCCCCGGCTGGAGCCAAAGCACTTTACGGAGGCGCTCGGACATATCCCGAGGCAGCGGAAGGTCTTTGGTGAAGGAGGATGTTAGAGTGGGGATTTACAAAGATCCCCGTGGCTTGTATGGAGGGCTGGTGAGGATGAAGGGGTGAGGACAGGTCCAGGCTGCCCAGGGTCCTGGCTGGAGTACCTGGGTGGGCCTCTGGGGAGCACTGCAGAGGGAGTGGGTCTGTTTGAGGTCCCTGAGGGAGCTGGGGCACCACGGACATGGCTGGGCTCAGCTGGGCGTGCTGGGATGTGGAACATAAGGTATAGACAGCACAGCGTGTCTGGGAGGCAGCTGAGTTGGGGCCTGGAGAGAGAGTCCAGGAGTCTGGGCTGGGCTCAGGGACAGAATGGGGACCGCCCCTCCGTGAAGGCTCCCACTCTCTTGTTTCCTCGAGGGCAGCTGGCTTCTTGCACTTGGACCTACTCCAACCCCTGGGCCATGGGGAGAGCACTTCTCTCCTGTCCTAGGACCCATGCGTGGCCTCCTGGGCTGTTCCAAGGCTCCTGCCCACCCACAGTGCTCCCTTCCTGCTGTTCAGGGCAATCAGAGGCTGGGGATGTGGGTGGGCAACAGAAACAGCGCCCTCAACCCCAATTGAGAAAGGTTCAAACAAGCCACAGCCTCCTGGGGGAAGGAGGAGGAACAGATGCCTCAGGCTTCTGGGGACACATGTCCATGACTAGTCCTGGACCTCGACCACAAGGATGTGTGAGAAGCCCCTGCATTCTGGCCCCTGGCCCCTCCCCCTCATGCAGGATGGGACCAGGTGGGCTTTGGGCTTCTGGGACAGAGTTCGCTGGTCCAGGGTGGGGACATCCCAACCAGACTAGGTCTGGGGGCGTGTGGGGCCGCACGAAGTGGCTCGGAGCTGCTGAGAGCCATGAAGACTAGGAGAGACGCCGCGGGTGCCTGCTAAGATCCGAGAGGCTCAGCACTGGGACCCTGTGGATACTTCCCATGGCTCCTGTGTAGCTCCATGAGGACAGGAGCACATCTCCTTCACCTTGGCATGCCAGCACCTGGCCCAGGTACCACATGAGCTGCTCAAGAGATGTTTGTTGGCTGGAACTGACCAGAACCAACCCAGAGATGGAAAGAGATGCAGTGGCCCCATGGCCGATAGGGACGGAGCTGTTGGCCACGGGGCCACTGAGGGCAGATCCCACGGACCGGCCCTGTGTATCCATAGACCCACGGGTGATGCCTTCCCTGCAGAGGCCCCGGGCAGGTGGCCTGGGCCTGGTTCTTTGTAAAATACTGTTGCTGGGTTGAGGCTGCACACAGTACTGTCCTGACCCACCCTCCTGCCTCCTCCTGGCTCCTCCAGGGAGGTGGGGGCTGTTCCAGGGTGACAGATGGGCCTGCAGGGCATGGCTTTAGTTGTGCAACTTCCCACAGCCCAGGAGCCGGGCCCCTCCATGTGCAGCTCTGGGAGGAGGGGGCCCAGCAGGCTTTGAAGGGGGCCTGGCTCCCCAGGCCTCCCCAGACTGGAAGCCTTTGAAAGAACATCTGGAACTCGGGCAGCTGGCTAACTAGTCTCTGGATTTGCAAAACCAAAAGTTAATCCTGACTTTGCTTCTTGTGTGTTCCCCACCCCTGCCCCCAAGCTCCTCTCTCTCCCCACCCCACCTCCACCTCTGCTGAGGTGGGGGCTGCAGCCTCTCATGGTCTCCTGAAGCACCTTCCCCCTCCACCACCACAGCCTGGGAGTTTTGCTGAACTGGGCTGAGCTGAGCAGAGGGAGGTGGTGGGAAGGATGGCTGTTGCTGGTGTCCCTGCATGCCGGGGCCCTGGGAGAGGACCGGACGGACCACCCCAGCATGGCTGGAGATGGCTGGGCAGCCATGTAAGTAGTCCCAGGCGGAAGCAGCTGCACAGACCTGGGAGGTGCCTGGCCTTTGCGGGCCCTGAGCCCTGCAGGTGTGCAGGGAGGCCGGCCCCCCCCCTCCAGCTGTGGCTGACTCGGAAACAAGTCCCCCCAGCTCCAGGAAACACATACTCACTGGTGGGGATGCCAGGTGCTGGGCCCATTGTCTCTGCCAGTGCCTTCAGGACCTTAGGGGGGCCCAGCGACAGCCCCCATCCTGCCCCCTCCCCAGGAAGACCCAGCTTTGTAAACAGAAACAACCATCGCTTCCCCCCATCCCCCCGCCCCCCCCTAAAATCCCGGAAGAACCAGCAGGAGGTCGCACCTGCTGGGGGACGTGAGTCCTTGTTTTGGGGGAAATGAGGAGGTCAGGCCTGTGGGGGCAGGGCAGAGCCGCGGTTGGGGAGGTGGGTGCCCTGGGGCTGGACACGGGTTCCTGGGTCCTGCCTCGCCCGGTCGGGAGGTCCCATCACGGGCCTCCTCGCGGCCTCCCCGCCCGGCCCGATTGTGACAGCTGCAGTCAGGGGAAGAGGCGGCCAGGGCTCCCCGCCAGGTGAGCAGGCCCCGGCCTTGGGCCGCCCCTGGCGCCCCCTGCCCGGCGTGAGGCCAGGGGTCCGGACTGCGGCCCGAGATAAGCGCCGCGCCCGCCGCCGCTTCCTGCACTTCCAGCGCCTCCGCCGCGCGCGGCTTCCTGTTTTCTCGAGCTGGCGGGTGGGGTCGTGGGGGACGAACGCGGTCCTGGGAGACAGGGTGGGGTAGCGGGGGATGGGACGGGTCTTGGGAGACGGGACAGGGGTGGGGGGTACGGGAGAGGAGTCGTGGGGGAGGAAAGAGGGGGCATGGGGGGTGGACGGGGGTGGGGGGACAGGGCGGGGGTCCTGAGAGACGGGGCGGGGTCGTGGGAGAGCGAGTGCGGTCGGGGAGGGTGGGGTGCTGTCCCGAGGAACAGAAGCTGGGGAAGCCGGCGCAGGCCGGAGGAGTCTTAACAAGAAAGAACCTAGCAGGGCACGTGGCTCACGCCTGTAATCCCAGCACTTCGGGAGGCCGAGGCGGGCAGATCGGGAGTTCGGGACCAGCCTGACCAACATGGTGAAACCCTGTCTCTACTAAAAATACAAAAATGAGCCGGGTGTGGTCCTGTGCACCTGTAGTCCCAGCTACTCGGGAGGCTGAGGCTGGGGAATTGCTTGAATCTGGGAGGTGGAGGTCGCAGTGAGCCGAGATCGCACCACTGCACCCCACCCTGAGCAACAGAGTAAAACTCTGTCTCAAAAAAGAAAAGTAAAAATAATAATGAACCTGGGTTTCCCTGTGGTTGCCTTCTGCGTGGCTGGAGCTGGCCCCTAGGGCTCCCTCCCGGGCCTGGGGCGGAAGCGGTGGGTGGGCTGGATGGAAGGTTGGTCCAGTGCCTGTAGAGCCTTAGTTTTTTTGGGGGGTCTGTTTGGGATTGGAGGTTTGCAGCTCTGGACCCCCCTTTCCAGGGCAGCTGGTTCTAGCATATGGGTTCAAGGTACTTAACCTATTGTTCATATTTTGTTATTAGAGATATGCATTTTTGTAATTTTAATAAAGACACAATTACACAAAACATTGTACACAAATGTTCATAGCAACATTATTCCCGATAGCCGAAAAGTAAAAGCCATCAGTGTCCATCAGCTGCTGAATAGAATGTGCTATGTCCTCTCGTGGATATCCAAGGAGGGAATGTGACTCAGCCACAAAAGGAATGCAGTACTGACACAGGCCACAACATGGGCGAACCTCAAAAGTGTGCAGGGTGAGCCACGCCAGACATGAAAGGCCACAAGGGTACCGTATATTATCCCATGTATAAGAAACGTCCAGACCAGGCGCTGCAAAGCCACAGAGACCAAAAGCAGTTCAGTGTTTATCGGGGGAACGAGGAAGGAAAGAATGGGTTTCTCTTGAGGGTGGTGAAAAGCCCTAAATTAAAGCTGGGTGTGGTGGTGCACACCTGCGGTTCCAGTGAGGCAGGGATCACTGCTGTGAACAGCCTGGGCAAAATAGCAAGACCCCATCTCAAAAAAAAAAAAAAAATAGAGGCCACGTGTGGTAGCTTATGTCTGTAAGTCCAGCGCATTGGGAGGCCAGGTGTTCAAGACTAGCCTGGGGAACATGGGAGTCTAAAGCAAACCGACAAGGCGCATAGCTCCGAGGTAGAGCATTTGACTGCAACAGCCAGAATGCTCTAAAATTAGGTAGTGGAGACCGTTTACAGCCTTGTGAATAATCACTCCATTGCACACTTAAAAGTTTATGTAGGCTTTGTAGAATGTAAGTGGAGTGGTTGGGTTTCCCGGGGGGTGTGTCCTGCTGAGTGGTGGGGCTCAGGTCCCCACACACGTGCCCTCCTTACTGTCCTAGCAGGACCTTGCTGGGGTCAACTATGTTCTTTGTCTGGCGTGCGGCTGGGTGTCTCTGTCTGTTGCTGTTCCCAACGGTGTGCAAAGTGATGACCCCATCTCCTGGGGAGAGGGGTGTAC